AACGGACGGTTGATCCTGCTTGCAAGACATTGTATGGGCCCATTACACATCCAATCGGCATGACGCCTCTGAAAGAAATCTAGTGCGTGGCGCATCCCAAAACATTAATAATCACCACCCAATCGCTGTCCTTTTCTAATGAAATTCGGATTGCATGGAAGAAATGCATTTCCTTCTAACCAAGTTGCCCTTTATCACATTTATAGATGCCCCAGGCCAACTATGCAGCAGAATGCTCGTGACTTTTCTCTCTTGACAGCTTTTCATTGGTCTTAGCGCCTTCATCTCCCCATATCATGAGCAAGTTCACCAGACGGATTCGGCACAGATTCAGGTCATGTCCATCAATCTCGTCTACTCAACCGCCTTTCACACGGCGTTTGCACGATTACAAGCGACAGCTCCGAATCGAAAAGCGACGATCGAACAGGGAGATGAGTGCTTCGTCGCCCTCTTACGTCCCGTGGGCCTGACTTTGCAATGGGCAATAGCTGCATGTGTGTGTGTGTTCATTCGGCATTCTGCACCACTGCCGAGGCTACTCAAAAAACCAGTTCATAAGGGTCACTGTCTCAGAACACTTTCTGCACATAAATCAGCTGATTCTATGGAATTAGGAACCTCAGGTAGTCTTCTTTCGATCCGGTAAGAGCCGGAATTGGGATTTTGAGAGCAGTCGTAGGATTTCACTTGGGTTTGTTCAGTCTCACTTTCGGTGAGCTGTGATGAGCCGTCCAGAGTGCGTTCGCACCCTATCGTAGCCTAATTGGCGTGTCCTTCGGTTACCTTGGAGGATGTGCCAAGGTGACAGAATCAATAAGGCGCTATAGAACACATGCGATATCTATGGGGGTAAAATTTTGGCCAAGGCAAGTGGTTCTTCACTTCATTGCATGAATGGAAAGATGAAGCATATGATGCGAAAATTGTCAGAACAAGTCGCTGGAACGCTGCGCGCCAAATAACCTATGCACTTTTATAAGTGTCGAGTCCATGGCGCATCGTGGAGAGGTTTTTGAACGCAGAGGACCTCATACTTTTTAAACCCTTAAACAAGCTTTTCTTAAGATATCATGTACCCTCAAGAGACACGCTTGAAAAGGAACTAGAATCACCAAATCACCTGACAAAATCTTCGTCGGTGGTGTCTTATTCTACCGATGTTATTTGATTACAAGGTCCTGTGAGCACGGCCAACCATGCGTTGCGCAGATCTCAACAGAAAGGGGGTCGTATTCAAGCCTATTGGGGGTCGCATCGGGGACGCTCCTAAGGGTTATGGTGACGGCTCTGATGGGGGGGTGGCAACGAGAGGCACTCCAGGAAGGGGAATGGTCAAATTTTTGGAAGTGGATCACTGGCGGTTGACCCTTCCTGAGAGGGCGGAGAAGTCGTAGTGGCAGAAGGCGCCGCTATCGCAGATACGATCCGCACATCAAATCCCGCCCGCTACAGCCAGCCCTTCACCTTTCTGGCTTCGTCTTACTGTAACGCCTTTTATGGGAAGAAGATTGGGTAGGATTCACCTTCCTGGTTACTGCATAGACCGTATACCGATTCAACCGCCTCTACGTTCTTCAGTTCAGTTGGCTTGCTTGGGCCGTATCGCGAATCGATCAATATCGAACCCTTAATTCATTTATCCTCACATAACTATGGTGAAAAGGGTTGTTCTTCGGAAGACGGCTTAGGGGGAAAGACAGGACAGGGCAGGAGCTAGACTGGGAAAGGCTTTGAGAGGGAAAGGATATTTAACCCTGTGGACGCAGATCAAGCGGGACCGACGTGCCTACTCCGTGTTGGGCTTGAATTCCAAATAAATCAGCAATTTAACATCCTCTCAATCCCAAAATTACTAAATCTGGGATCAGTTTGATGTCTTACAACCTCAACCGTACGACTTTCTCCGGTTCCAACGATCTTCGAAGCCCTTCGTTTCTACCAAAAAAGGCTCGATGAGGGCTTGTTAGCCGTCGTATGCAATATTTGGTTGGTACCTTTAGGCGCGTGGTGGAGTCGATTCCAGTCGAATGACAGATTATAAGTGTTAGGCCGAGTCGTCCATACGCTTGTTTGGGCCTTACCCGTACCGCAATAGAACCCTTAAATTTAACTCACAGAACTGCGGTGAAAAGGGTTGTTCGCTGAAGGATGGCATTGGGGAAAAGGCGACCGCAGGAGCTGGACAAGGAAATGTCTAAGAGGGAAAAGGATATGGCAGTTACGCAGACCAGGACTGACCGCTCGTGATCGTTCAGGGTATTGGACCTAATCCTAAATAAGCCCGCAATTTAGCGTTCTCTCAGTTAAGTATTAGTATATCTAGAAGCAGTTTCAAGTCCAGGTTAATGTATCACGCTGATCTTCGTAGCCCAACGCTTCTACCAAAAACGGCTGGTTGATGGCTTGTTAGCCGTCGTATGCAATATTTGGTTGGTACCTTTAGGCGCGTGGTGGAGTCGATTCCAGTCGAATGACAGATTATAAGTGTCAGGCCGAGTCGTCCATCCATCTCAACGCACATCAATCAATCTACTCGCCCAGCTACCCCTCGTCAGACAAAAACGAGACCGTCGCCTGCAGTTTTCGGTGCAATTCTTGACGAATTCAACGCATCAACAATGCCCAACGCTGACGAGAAATCGTCGAAAAACCACTTCCAAAATGAGGTTTCCTTCCGATGAACGCCACAGCCAAAAACTTAGCAGTACTCAACAGCTCTTTTCCCAGTCAGCCAAGGAATCTCTCCACAGTAAGCTCCCCGTGCTGAACGCAATCAGGCCCGTACATGACAAATCCCAAGGAAATTTGGACCTCAAGATTTTTCAACCCTGGTCGTTCTCAAGTGAAAGGTCTTACCTGGCTGCGATTTTCGTGGTTCGAAGCGCTTCAGTGATTTTTCCAGCATCAGCAGAGGATTCGTGGAAGGCTTTTTAGCAGATACTGCTATTGATTCAGCGTTCCAAGTCGGATCGGTCGATGCCGGATCTTTGGAACACGAAGGCGATAACTCGGCATCATCTTGTGTGGGAACAGTTACAGTAATAGCTGCGGAATGTTGTGTGGCCGAAGTCTCCTTGGCCATCTTCGCAGACGGCTCCATTTCAGCGATTTCATACTCTTCTGGGGTCCTTTTGATAGGTTTCGCTTGCTTTCGTCGACCCATCAGCGATCAGGTGGCAAGCTGGAAGTCGGTTCGAGTGTAGAGCGTAATGAAAGTGGAAGACCGAAAAAGGAAATGATGATGGGGGGAAGAAAGCGTGTGTAGAGGAGAAAAGTATGTGGAAATGGGTAATGGGTGTGAGTCGGACGAGACGTTTTGTGGCCCCGCTCGACTCCGCCCATCTCATCCATCAATCACTCCATGTTATGATCACATGCGGCAGCAGCAGATACAAGAGGAGAACATGGCGAGAGAGGACGCTCGCGTCGGAAGAATTGCGACAGCGCCGGCGAAAAACCAACTCATCGTCGAGGTCGACGCTACTCAAGCGGGGTTCTAGCTGACCAAACCGAAACGTGGATGTGAAGGGGCGACGACAGCAGCAGCGGACCGCTGCAGCAGAGCGACCGGTGGATTCGCATTCACCTCACCTTGGCCGAATATTTATGCATTTTTGAAGGTGGCGGCCAGGTGGCGGAGAATTGATGAAGCGAGCGGCGGCTCGGAGGCGCCGGAGAGGGCGAAGGCTTCGAGGCAGAACGAAAGCGCTTCATAAATCAATCACTTTGTTATGATCGCGCGCCAGATAGATGACGGCCGATGTGCCATGTCGAAGTGAATTTTTCGATTCAGGGCGGACTATAGACGAACTGACTCGCTCCACAGTTCAACCATTTTGTACGGAATAGAATGGCCAGAATTCACTTGCTGATTGGCCCCTCCAAATGATGACAGGGGCTGCAATCCAGGGTCAGTCGTGCGTTGCGCAGTTCTCAGCGAGAGGGGTCGCATTGGTGCTTTTTGGAGTAGGGGAGTCGAATTTCAGGTTGGTGAAAATGAAAGGGAGAAGAAAGGGGTTCGCAGTCGTATTTTTGAAAAATGAAGTGGTTGTAGGGGGAGCAGCGGGTGTTTCGTGTTTGGCGGTTTGACGACCTTCAAGAAAATTTCTTAAATAGGCAAAAAGTAGGAGAAAATAAAATAGAGGTTTTTCCGTACCATTATACATATTTACGTTAGTAACTCGTTGCCCAGCTCAACCATTTGGGGCAAAATGGAATGGTGTCAGCATTCTCTCTACCCCCTCCCCCTCGCTCACGGCTGTTGGGGAGAATGAGTGGAGTTGGGATGCGTCGATGGTCTCAGAATCGGATACTACAGAAGTAGTTATAAAGGAGGGTGGGGATCGGGATGGAAGAAAGGGGTCGCATCGGGAACTGCCCCAAAGCTGACGGTGGTGGTGAAGGTCGTATC